TGGAGGCCTCTGGGAGCGCTCGGGGGCGCCTGAAAGTTGTGCCCAGCAGAAAAAAACATCTCTGGGCCGTCTTGGAGCGTCGGGAAGCCGAACAGATGAGAACGCCAAAATCTTTCTAAAACCAAAGCGAAATCGATGGTTCTTGCCTCCTGGGGCCAGAGCCCTCTCGAGACGCTTCTTCGAGGCCTCTTTGGGCGTCTTGGGAGCCTCTTGGGGCCGAGGGTTCGAAATGTCTGTGCGGGTTTCCGGTCAGGCCCCCTCTTGGGGCCGACCTGGGGATATTTTGGGCCGTGTTGTCGGCCTCGTGGGCCGTCTTGGGGCCCTCTTGGGCCCTCTTGGGGCTCTCTTGGAGGCCTCTTGGGCCGTCTTGGGGCGATGTTTGGGACCTCTGTCTTGGAGCGTCGGGATGCCGAACAGATACGAACGCCCAAATTCTTCCAAACCTAAGGAAATCGATGGTTCTTGCCTCCTGGAGCCCTGTTGAGACGCTTCTTCGAGGCTTCTTTGGGCGTCTTGGGGGCGTCTGCGGCCGTCTGTTGGCTATCTTGGGCGTCTTGGACCGATCGGTCGGCGACTCGGAGCCCTCTTGGACCGTCTTGGAGGCCTCTGGGAGCTGGAGCGCTCGGGGGCGCCTGAAAGCCGCGCCCAAAAGGAAACCCCATCTCTGGGTACGGCCGGGATGCTTTTCGTCCGCGGACCCCCAGGGGCCGCCCCGCGCGCGCGAAGTAGAATTATTGTTTACCAGTAGCTGGAGATCTTAGCACGCCTCTGGCCCGTTGTGCCGGCGAATTCCCAAATCGCGCTCTCGCGCGGGACGTCCTCACAATTTATTCAGGAATCGCGCTCTCGCGTTGGATTTCCTCACAGTTTATTCAGACGCCGCGCTCTCGACATTCAGGAGTCACGCTCTTGCTGTGGATTTCTTCACGATTGATTTGTGAATCGAGCTATCGCTCGAGACTTCCTCGCGATTCATGCAGGACGCACGCTTGAGCAACCCGCCTGCTCGACCTGGCCGCCTGGGCCCTCCTTCCCGACCCACCTGGTAGGGTCTACCCGCCCGATCTGCCCGTCTGGTTCTGCCGCGTGTTTTCTGCTCCTAGCCCGTGCTCCATCCTCCTCCCTCCCTCTTGTCTTTCCTTCCATCCGTCCTCTCTTTCCCTGCCTCAGGGGCTGCGCGAAATATACGTTGCAGGTAAGGAAAGGTATGCCCCAAGGGGCTACGGTCGAGGACGAAGACGGGGGTATCGAGGGTTTGGGATATACGTGGTGAATGGCACGCGAGCAGATGAGAGCGAACAGTTTTAAATTGATTGTTGTTGTTGGTGTGTTTGCGGAATATTCAGTTCTAGAGAATGGTTACGCGCGCTCCTGCCTCGACGCCGGCTGCAACTCTTATGAAAACGAGACTCTCGCTCGAGCGCGGGTTTGATTGTAAACGTGTGCCCTTGGAGGCCCGGCTACAACGACAACAGTTCCCGCTCGATATTTCTCACAATTTACCCCGAGACACCCTGGCCGCAGAAGCCTCCGATCTCAGAAACGGAGCTGTCGCTCGAGACTCCCAGGCAATTCAGTCAAGTTGGCGCGGGCCCAGTCAAGACGATAAGGGCTCAGGGTCGATACTTTCTCACAACTTACTCCGAGAGCCCCTGGCCAGGAAGGCCCCCAAACTCAGGAACGGCGCTCTCGCGCGAGACTTTCTTAATTCAGTAAAAATGGTGGAGGCCCAACTTCGACGACAAAGGCTTTCGTTCGATAGTTTCTCAAGATGTATTCCCAGAGGCCCTGGTCAGAGAGTCTTCCGAACTCAAGAGTGGCGCTCTCGCCCGAGACTTTCTCGTAATCCAGGCAAGCTGGTGGAGGCCCAGACACGGCGACAGGGGCTCCCGTTCGATATTCCTCAATTTGGATTCCGAGAGCCCCTAGCCAGAGAGGCCCCCGAACCCAGGAACGGCTCTCTCACTCGGGAGTTCCCCGCACTTTTGTCAGTGGCCGACAAGGAAGATATTCCCCCCGGAAAAAGGGGGCGATCGAAGACGAAGTGGGCGGGCACCGAGGGTTTGGGTATACAGAATGCAAGGCACGCGTGCCAGTAAGAAAGAACAGTCCTAAAGTGATAGTTGTTGTTGCTGTTGGTGTAGTAGTTTTGGGGTCCATGGGCCCAATCTGAACCTCACTATTTACCATTGTATAAAGCAATGTGCGAGTCTTGGGAGGAGGGGGTGACCAACAATACTTATTATTTTTATATCTGGACTCAACAACAACAATCATTATAAGACTGTTCGCTCTTACTTGCCCGTGTGTCATTCAAAACGAGTTCCCCACACCCCCGATACCCGCCCTTTTTGTCTTCGATTACACCCGGCTTGGGGGGATTATTTCTCTTTGCGAGGGGCGGCGGGCTTAGACAGGCGGGCAAACCTGAACGGGCGGACAATCCTTCGTGGGCGTACATGTGCCCGCCATTGGAATTGGTGTGGGCCCTGCAAAAAGAGGAGGGGGAGAACGAGGGAGAGTGTGAGGAAGGGAGGGGGAGGGACGAACGAAGAGGAAACACGCCAGGAGAGTAGGAGCGAAGAGGGGGGCGCTTGATTAGAGGCAGAGAGAGAGAGAGAGCAAGAGAAACAGAGATAGAGAGAGCAAACAAAAACAACAACATCGAGAACGAGAGAGAGAGAGATAAGAGAGGTAGAGAAATAAAGAAAGCGAGGGAGAGAGAGAGAGAGAGAAAGACAGAGAACGGGAAGAGAGAGGAAGACAGAGGGAGGGAGGAGGCAGGAGAGGTGAGGGAGAAGGGAGGAGGGAGAAGAGGGAGAGGGGATGAGGCAAAGAGTCATAAGGATGAGGGAAGAGAGGAGGGAGAGAAAAGGGAGGAGAGGAGGAAGGAGGGATGAGGGAGAGGGAGGAGGAGCAGGAAGGTAAGAGCGTGAACGTTCGAGGAAGTCTTGGGCGAAAGCGCCGTTTCTGAAGGAAGTTTCGGGCGGGAGCCCACGATGGGCGGGCGATCCCCTGACGGGCGGGTCGGGCGGGTGGCACATTCAAGCGGGATGCCTGAGTATGGCGAGAGCGCGATTATTAAGTAAATTGTAATGGCGTCCTTGGCGCAGCGTGTTTCCTGGGCGTCGAAAGCGCGATTTCTGAATAAATCGCATGGGAGTCACAGGCGAGAGCGCAATGCTTGAATAACATGTGAGGGGTTCTCTGGTGGGAGCATGGGTTTTGATTAAATTGCGAGGAAGTCTTGATTCAATTGCGAGGAAGTCTCAAGCGGGAGCGCCGTTCCTGAGTAAATCGTGAGGAAGTCTCAAATGGGAGCGGGGGTCCTCACTAAACTGCGAGGACGTCACAGGCGGGAGCACCGATCCTGAGTAACTTGTGAGGAAGTCTAAGGAGCGGGGGTCTTGAGTAAATTTGGAGGAAGTCTCAGGCGGGAGCCGTTGTTATTGTAATCCGGGGGGCCAGGGGCCCAGTTTGAGCAGGAATAGGTTCCCTGTAAAAAAAACAGCGTGCGAGCGTCGAGGGGCACACTTTGATTGAGACAAGCAGCATGCACCGGTGAGGGGCATCAGCAATAATGGTTCTTCAGAAATGAGAGTTCAACAAAAACGAAACCAACAGCAACAGCAACAACAACAGCAGCAGCAGCAGCAGCAGCAACAACAACACCAATCATTTTAAGACTGCTCGCTTCTATCCGCTCGCGTGCCACTCAACACGTGTTTCCCAAGCCCTCGGTAACCGCCCTGTTCGTCTTCGGTCGTACCCCCATGGGGGTATATTTTCCTTACCTGCAACGTGTATTTCGTGAGGCCCTAAAGCGGGGAGAAAAAAGGCGGATGGAAGGAAGGTGCAGAGGGGGGGGAGGAGGACACATCACGAGAGAATTGAGCAGCAGAGGGGGCTAGGAGCAGGACGGGGGCTAGGCTAGGAGCAGATCGGGCGGGCAGACCCTGACGGGCGGGTCGGGAAGGCGGGCCCAGGCGGCCACAGGCGGGTTGTTGAAGCGTGCGTCTTGCATGAATCGCGAGAAGGTCTCGAACGATAGCGCGATTTACAAACAAATGCCGAGAAAAGCCAAAGCGCGAGCGAGATGGTTGAGTGTCGACGGCGCTGCGTTTCAATGAATTGAGATGACGCCCCACCCGAGGGCACAACTCCTGCATAATTTGTGAGGAGGTCCCGCGCGAGTGCGCGATTCTCACACCACCTGTGCGGAACTATCAGGCGGGAGCCATTTCTGTCGAAGTCGGGGGTCAGTTTCCTAATCTGAGCCGCGAGACTTTCTCTCGTCTGCAGAATCCCAGTTAAGCCACGTACCCAGGGACAGTGAATGACCGTTCGTCCCCCTCGCGACCCACCCGCGACCCGCCCGCGACCCACGCGCGACCCACGCGCGACCCATCCGCGACCCACCCGCGACCCATCCGCGAGCCACCCGCGACCCACCCGCGACTCATTTGCGACCCACCCTGCGACCCACCCGCGACCCACTTGCGCCCGCCCCTTCACTCAGCAACTGCGGGGTGCTGTATATTCTAGCGGCGCACCCCCTCTGCCCTCCTTGTGCCACCCCGTCCCGTGTCCAGTGCCCGTCGCTCGCAGAAGGTGTAATTCGGCGTTTCCAGATTCCTGGGGCCCGCCATATATTTGTGCACGCCTTGCTGCTTCAAGAACCGGGCGGCCCTCCTTTTCCCTTCCAGATCCAGGAGGCAGGCCGAAGCCCAATCGACATTCAGCGTCTGCCTACTTCACGCTTCCCTCTCGCTTCATCCGATCGACGGGCATGCTCGCCCCCCAACTCGCCCTCCTCCCAGCTGGGTAGGCACTGGCGACTGTAGGCTGATGACGCAGATGGTCAGCTCGGAGCCGAGGGACGGCTCGGTGTGCCTGGCTTACAGGCCTGGATGACAAGACGACGACGACGATGACGACGACGGCCGTAACGACCGCAACGAAGGGGGTGATGGGATTGGCAGCTCCTCTGCCGCGCGCTTCGGTCGAGAAATTTAGATGAGTAATCAGAGCGTGGCTCAAGGCGGAGACCTCCCGCCTCTGCGCGCCCCGCGGCCCAGGCTGCCCGCTGCACTCACAGAGAGCCCCCCCCGCATCGTCCGGCGCCCCTGCGGCCATGGCGGGCACCGGTTGCGCCCACCCAGCCTCCGTGGAGGAGGGCATCGCCGAGCCGCTGTGCCCTGGGCTGTGCTCCGTGCCAGAGGCCGTGGCCGTGGAGGAGGCAGAGCGCGGGGGCCTTCTGGCGGCCGCCGCTGGCCGCGCTCGGCCCAGGCTGCCGCGCGGGGGCCGCGGGCTCGTCCTCGCGGCCACCCTGTGCGCCGGGTGCGCGGGCGCGCTGCTTGCTGGGCGGCAGGCGCGGCCTCGCGGCGCGGCCAGCGCGGACACGGGGGATGCGACGGGGCTGTTCTTGTTCTCCGCGCTCGCCTCCGCGGCGGAGGTCATGCTCACCGGCGCAAAGGCAGCGAAGGCCATCGGTGGGGGCGTAAGCGACTTCCAGGGGCTCCTCAACAACGAGAACCTGAGTGAGGAGATATCTAAGCTGGAGGCGAGGTTCAAGCTTGGCTACAACAAGACGATGGTGCTGGACCCCTCTTGGAGGAAATTCCTACCGAACGCCACGGAGAATCTGAGCAAGGAGGAGCTGAGGCAGATGCTGTTCCCTGCTGTTCACCGCCATGACGGCAATCTTTGCTACGACGATGAGGAGGAGCACGCGGGTTTATGTTACAAGCGCTGCTCCCTCCTCACCTTCGGCACGCACCCTTATCGAACCAGCGCGTTCTCATGCTGCAGCAGGGCCCCATGCCAGTGGGATGAGACTGCATTCCGTACCAGCATCTGCGGTGGATTCGACGTGAGCGGCGACACGGCCAACGGCATTTGCCCGCACATCCCAGGTGCATGCCTGGCGAACGAGGAGCTTCTCAACGGACTGTGCTACAAAAGATGTGCACTTCTGACCGAGGGGGAGTACATGTTCCGCACCGGCCCCTCCACGTGCTGCAAGTTTCGCTCGGAGCTTGCTTGCACCCCTGGTGCAAAAGGGCCCGGCGGCTCCTACGCAGTCATGAACACATCATTCGCCAGCGGGGGTGGGCTGTGCACCTCTGAGATGCCGTGCACGGTGCACCTGCCCATTCGTGAGTTGGCAGAGAGCGAGGTATGGGAACCGTGGGAAAACTTCACCGACGAGGCAAACACGACGACGGAAGAGGCCACGGAAAGGCTGCTCGATGGCACCACGCCAGGCGATGAGGCAGAGGCGGAGGCGGACAGCGCTGCGGCGGCAATCGCGGCGGCAGATCAGGCGATCGCGGCCGTGGGGGAGGCCGTGGAGGCTGCCAAGGAGGCGGCCGCCGTCGCCAAAGCGGCGCAGGCGGCACTGTCAGAGGAAGAGGCCGCGAGCGGCAGCGGTGGCAACACCTCGGAGGGCACAGTCACCACCAAGGCCCCGTGGGCTCCGAGCGTCGACGTGGCAGCGATGAAGTGAGGCGAGCGGAGGCGCTGGCGTCGGGTGCGAGAGGCGTTTGTCAGCGGGCCAGCTCTTTCGACCACTCCTCTCTCTTCTCTTCAGCATGCACGTCGTGACTCCTCGTCTCCTCGCACTCTCGTGCCACGGCATTGCGTGCCTCTGGTCTCTTGTGTTTGCACGTTTCAGAACCCCATCAGTGACATCGTATCATAATTCAGACCGCAGTGTCATATATCACAGTTGGGTCAAATGCCCGCTGCAGTTTTGAATTAGAGGTTGAGCCCATGCCACGGTGTGTCTCAGGCTTATCGCCCCAATTCCGATCATCATGCCACTGAGGCAGCCCGAATGGGCCTCCTTCATGGCGCAGTGATCCTTTCAGTGTCGAATTGCGCGTGTCAAGACGGAAAGACCAGGTAGACACCGTCGTTCCTTTATCTGGATGGAAAAAAAGAAAAAGAAGATGAGTAATCGTAACGTCTGTACTTGTCACGTGCTCACCCGTCTCAATGGTCTGCGCCGACGCCTGCCAGCAACGCCACCGCGCCCTTTCGCGAGACGTGGCGTGCAGCTGCGCTATCGGTTGTCACGCAAGCGTGGCCTCGCGGTTGCGGACCTCGACGTTCTCGTGCAGGCACGGTTCCTCGAACAACATGGTGGTGCAATAGTCGGTCGCCATTGCATCTTTCCCGAACATCTCATGGTCGCCGCTTTCCCAGGTCTCAAGCGTGTGGTGCTCCATCGTGTTGATGAGCCTGGCGTGCAGCTGCACCTTCGGCTGCCACGCGTGCGTGGCCTCGCGATTGCTGTCCATGAAGCTCTCCTCCAGGTTCTGTTCTTCGGACAGCATGCTGGGGCAACGGATGTACTCCACCACCCTCTTCACGATTTTCCCCTGGTTGCCGCTGTCCATGGTCTCATCCACGTTGTCATCCATCAAGCGGGTGGCCGCGGTTGGCCTGCTCGATGATGCCAGCAACGACCAGGTCGTTCAAGCAGATGGGGGTGTTGGTGCCTTCCAGCTCCGACTGCTTGTCATTGCTTTTCCGCGCTGAGGGTGATAGGAACCGCCTTCCCGATCTTCTGCTCGCAAACGTGCTCGGGCTCCCCGTCCTCGGACAGCATGGTGGAGTAGAAGTCGTCCACCACTGCCTCTTTTGCCTGGGCCTCGTCGTCCGCGGCCTGCACCTTCGCCTCAGCCTTCAGCGCATCGGACTCCACGAAGACGTCGAAGCCCTTCCCCATCATGCTCTCGACCAGATGGGCCTCGTCGGCCGCCTCCGCAGCCGCGCCGCCGTTCGCCGCGTCCAGATACACCTTGACCAACGCGTGGTTGACAATGCCCTCCTGCACTGCCTTCTCGATTGTCGCCTTGGCGCCATACCCGAAACATCTGGCGGGTTCACATCCAGCAGGGTGTTGCGCATGGTGGGGTTCCCGACGCCCTCGAGTCCCCTCTGCTCGCCGTCGAACTGATCGTCCTTCTTTGCGGGCTGCTGCATCTGCTCGTGGCATTCCGGGTCCTCGTTGCCTCTTCCTGTTGCCGGCGCAACGTGGACTCAAGCGCCACGAGGTGCGTAATCACCACTTGCGCAGAAAGGTGCCGTAACATGTTGAAGCAGATGTCGGCCCTTCTCCGCCACGTTGGTATCCTTGTTCGAGATGGGGCCCCGCGCCGTGCTGCGGGCCCAGCCATTGCAAGGCCCTCGAACGGGCGGCTCAGCTCATTCTCGAGATGCTCGAGCACCTCGTCATGGAGCGGGTAGACCTGGCCAGCGAGGAACGCTTCCACGGCATTCGGCCAGCGAGGTACGCTTCCATGGCGCCGAACAGAATTGGTAGAGGGGCGCGAGGAGGACGACGGGGAGAAGGACGATGATGATGATGATGATGAGGAGGAGGAGGAGGAGGACGACAAGCTGTGTGCGGTCGCGCCATATCTGACATCCTACCCTTTTCGCCCATTCCTTTCCATTGTTTTTTCCGGATGACATAACTAGTTCGCGGATTTGGGACCATCGAACGGACGAAAGGACACCATCGTGTTTGGACACAATTAGAAATGTGATTTGAGCACATTGGAGGAGGCGAAAGAGCAAGAGAAGCAGCAGGAGGACGACTACGAGCGTGACGAAGGAGGAACACGAGAAGGAGTATCGGAAGCATGAGCAAGAGCAGAAGGAGCGGGAGGAGCACGAGGACGGGGGGAAGACGGAGGAGGGGGAAGGAGCGACGCGACAAAGGCGAGGGATGACTCGGATCTAGAACTCAGGCCCGCGTTTGTGCGAGGGCGCCATGGCGAACACCAGGAGGCAAGGCGTTGATGAGGCAAACGCTGCCGCGGGAAAACCATTTGAGGATGTCGAACACGTTCTGGTTGACACGCATCGGGCAAACCACTTTCTGATATCCTGCACGCCAAGGCACGTGTGCGTGAGAAAAGCGGTTCCGCTCGAGCGGCATCCAGGGGGAGAGGAGACCAGTATTCACATTGAGTGCTTGTGGAGGGAGGAGGAGCCCCGCCCCGCTGGGCCTTGCTACGAGCGTCGTGACAGTTGCGCATGTGGCAGCCTCCCAAGGGCGCCGCGAGGTCTCGAGTGGGTGCCACGTGAGAGCCCACTCCGCAGGGCCTCCCATAAGCCCATGAAAGAGGTGACAGTTGCGCAGGTGGCAGCCACCCAGGGAGCCAAGAGGTGGGCGGCAAGCAGTTGGAAAGAGTGATCATACGGGCAGGAGGTAGGAGGCGAGGAGGAGGAGGAGGAGGAGGAGGAGGAGGAGGGTTGGAGAACACAGTGCGCTTCATTCAAAACAAGAACCCAACGCAGTAGGATTGGGAGTCAAGCAGGATGCAGACGAAGATAAGATGCGAAGGGGAAGGGGTGAGGGAGGGGAGGGGATGGAGAAAGCAGTGCTCTACTCACTCCGGAAATCCAACGCAAGAGAGTTGGAAGTAAAGACAGATGCACGAGGAGGTAATGCAGGAGGAGGCAGGAGGCAGGGGCAGGAGGAGAGGACGCTGTCGCGTCCGCAGCGTTCTGTTCAGAACGAGGTCCGAACACAGGAGGGTTGGGAACAAGATGCTTCTGAAGAAACCCTGACTCCAGCCGACGAGAACTAACGGAACATATTGCCGCACATCCTGGCCAGGTATTGGACGTACCTTCAGATATGCCAATCGCCTGCGCATTACCAAATGTCGGCGCATGGACTCTTTGCACAGGTATTGAACATAGAAAAGACTACCCCAGCGAAAACACGGATGATGCCCTGCAACACGCACATCGAATTATATGCGTATTCAAGCGACCACAGGGTGAATGCAGAAAGGAATCCGAAGGCCAGAACATCGGCGCAAGTGCTAGCTTGCTCGCCGCATTGAACGTTGAACGATTGCCCTGCGTCGTCGCCGAGAAGAGCTGCCCTGCGATGCCGATGCCACACTGCCCCAAGCAGGGTCGTGCCCAGTCCTGCGCAAACCACGAAGTGAAGCGGAAGCCAAGCTTTTCCTCACGGAGAGCGGGCCTCACCGCCCGATCACGCGGCCAAGCGCCCCTTGGCGGCGCAGGGCGCAGCTCGAAGCATCTCCAGCGAAGCCATACGACTACGGAGTTTTTCGAGTCACACGTGCTTGAGGAGGAGGAGGGGGGGAGGAGGAACTCGGTGGCCGACCTCTGGAAAATTGAAGGATCTGCGGCGGACATGTCGGCAGGTCGCAGGTTGGGAGTGTCGTAGACGTTCCAGGCCTGAGGGAACGGCGCCTCTCCGACATCCTCCCCCGAGGGGGAGTGAATCTTAAGTAACCGCTAGAGGTCTTTAGTCGTTTCCCCCCTTTTCTTTCGTCGGTGAAGGGACTGGTCCTAAAATCTCCTCCACCTCCTCTTCTTTAGAATTTTCCGTGAGAGCGCCCCTCAGGCATGCGTAGTGGTGGTCGTCGATGTCGTAGTCGCAATCGTGTTCGTAGCTGTCGTCGTCTTTGTTGCGCGGCGGGTGCCGTGGGGGAAAAAAAGCCTGGCGAAGGACCCAACCATATGCAGTTGTGGGTACCGTCGTTGTATGCACCGCATTTGGTGGAGCTCCCTATGCGGCCACGAAGTGTGTGAGGAGTCTGCCAAAATGGGCGCGGCGGCGCCATGCGAGCGCAGCCACTGAGGCCTTCGGTGGAGCTCCCTATGCGGCCACGAAGCGTGTGAGGGGTGTGCCAAAATGGTTGCGGTGACACCATGCGGGCGCTGCCTTGGGGCCTTCGGTGGAGCCCCCTTATGGGGCCACGAAGCGTGTGAGGGGTGTATTGAAACGGTGGACCTGTGGAGAGCATAGGCACGATGCTGACCTTGATGGTGACGATGATGTGGATGATTGCGATGGCGATAATAATGACGATGATGATGATGATGATAACGATGGACGATGGGGACTTGCAGAAGGCAGAGGCAGGGATGGGAGGAGGGGGAGAGCAGCGTGAGGATGGGAGGAGGAAGGAGAGGGAAGAGGAGTGATGATGATGAGGAGGAGGAGGTGACGCGGGGCGCTGTTTCTTCCAAGCGAAGACCCAACGCCACAGGATGGTTGGGAATTGGGACCCCAGCCTTTCAATAAGGCCCCCGAACGAGTAATGAGTTACCCCCTGTTGGGGTTCTGATGACCTTTCAGTCAGAGTTCGGAGAAATCGGAAACCATCATCACGGGGTGCATCACGCACGGCAAAGACGGGCGCCCACTTTGAATGGCCAGTCCATATGCACACACGGCAAGCGTGGCCCCCATGCGTGGAGCATCAATTTGCTCGCCGAAAACAGCAGCACAGTATGCTCGAGGCTCACCACATATCGACATGCAGCGCCTGTGTCGGTGACGGCCGATCCTGTGGCAGCGCGGGGTTGACAAGCATGCAGACCGAAAACATTCTTCGACGTTTGCGCTGAACTATGCTAAGTAAGCGCGATGCGGCTTGGGTCTCCGAGCTGAACCCCAAACACTTTTGCCGAACGTTTATTCGGAACGTTGCCAGACGAGGAGGAGGAGAAGGAGGAAGAAGAGAAGGAGGAGGAGGGGAGGAGGAGAAGGAGGACGGGGATGGGAGACGCAGGTGGAAGGTGGAATGAGTAGGGGAGGGAGCGAAACCGGTGGAGGTGATGATGGTGGTGGTGGTCATTGTGTAAAGGAATTGCGTCCTGAGCAGAGCGACGCGCACCAAGACCACGACTGCGCCGACAACGATGGAAACGAGGAGCGCTTGCGATCCGCACCGAAGCACGGATTCGGGGATTGGCCCACCCTGCGAGGTTTGGTATACAGAACATCGTTGAGCGGTATTGCGGGCTCCTCCCCCCGAGCACAGGCCCACCCCCCGAGCAGCAGCCAGACATTTCGGGTTTGCACTGCGTCCGGGGGGCGCGGTATGGCACCCTGTCCTCCAACCTCGTCAGGGCCACCGACAGGGGAGGGCGGTGGTGGCCAACACGTCCCAAAGCCGAGAAGTAGCGCTGCGGCTCAGAAAGCCAG